GCCGGACACGGAAAAAAGACAAAAGACAAAAAAAAAAAAAAAAAGAGAAATATCCACCACTAAGGCAGGAGTGCCTCTCAGAAGAAAACATTCCCTGAATGTGCTCAGCAGAGCTAGTTTATGTGTTGCATCACTATTAAAAGCTTTAAAGCTGGAAGGGTCCTCAGAGATCACTTAGTTCAATACACTTGAGGAAATGGTGAGTTGAGACCCAAAGAGGAGAAGACACTTGTCCAAGGTCATATATCAAGTTAGTGTCAGAGTAAGGATTAGAACCCGATTTCTGGGCAAGTGCTTTTCCTATTTCACCATCTGCAGAGCATTTCTAGAGATCACCAACATACAAATCTGCAAACCTTAGTTGTTGCTTTCCAGCAAGACCCATGTACATACAAACACATTTTCTCCTCTTGGGATGCGCCTGCATTCTGGCTGGCTATTGCCCAGGAATAACAGAGAGCAGGGGTGGAGTTCCTTATTAGCAAGGCTCTTCTACCTCCTGGTCCTATATTGTAACTCTAGTGACCTGTAAGCTGCCTCTCCCCCTCACCTCTAGCTGAGAGATGGCAAGCTGCCACAGCTAGGAATGGTTTTCAGATACCATCACCCAGGCTGGATTAGATCATGAAAAGGGCCCTTCCTGGAAGAGGGTGGAAGCTCAATCAGTGCAGACACATGATCTGCAGGCAACAGGTGAGGGTAAGTGACAGCAGCTTCCTGAACTATTGGACTCATCCGCTGGGCCTTTCTAGCCAGCCCAGCAGCCAAGGGGAGCTGGATATTCCCTCTGGTGAACCCCTACTGGATTTTATTCCCTCACTTAAGCTTTTGTTTGCTGGTGTACAGGTTCCCCATCTCCCCATTTCCAGATCATTCTATATGGAGTAACCTGCCCATCAATACACATATGCACTCAGAAGAGAAACTCCTCCCAGACAGTACTGGGCGTTCTCTTATTAAATTGTTATCCTTTCCATAATGCTTCGGTTTTTATAAAACCCCATACATACAACACCACCACAAGGAAAAGGTTCCTTTTATATCAGTTACTCATATTTTCCCATTTATTCAAGCTATTAAATTCATGCAGATATTTTATAAGCCATCAGGATTCGGTGACTGGTATTACTGAATGTTTAATAATAAACTAAACAGAAGAAATCAGAGGGTTAAATGATGACTGCAATTCCTGTAATGACTTAATTAAATTTTTATTGAGTACATAAACTATGATGTCATTTCTAGCCAACCATGGGCCTGCTTTCCCAGCATGTCACAGGGTGGGAGCACTCAATAGGAGACTAGGCTAAATAAGCAGCAGGTCTCAGCCGAAATGGGGAGGGGAGCAAGGCTCATGTAACACACTCAATAAATTATCCGTTCATTTTTAAACAAAGTCCATGAGTTATAATATATTTGCCATGCACTTTTTATGACATAATAAAAATGTTACCTTAAGGATTACTTAACACATACTACAAATGTTATAGCAGAGGCAGGCACAAGGGGCAAAGAAAACAAACATGAGCAGGCCAGGGACGGGTCCTGGAGTTTATGTCCCAGGGGGAATAGCAAAGTATATTAAAAAGGGAATGCAAAAAAGAGGGGGGGGATGCAAGAGTTCAGGGTTACTAATCAGCAGATTAATGAATGAGACACCAAAAGGGAACACAAGTAAAGCAATAATGAATCTTGCAAGGCATATGTTTAATTAATGTAGTATTTTTGAGGAGGAATATTAACTTTAAAGAGATTCCAGTTCCTCTGAGGCCAATTCACTGCCCTCCTTCCCCTTTTCACTGTTGCTGCTCTTACAGATGTTTATGTGACTACTTAACAGAGGAACCAGACTATGTGGATATAGGGACTGATGGGATAGCAAGTTTTAACTCCTCCATGAGTTGTACAAGATTCTTCGTGATTTGTTCTTGGTCATCTTTCCTGCTTCACCTCCTGTCACCTCTCCACTTTTATATTACCCTTCAGTCAGAGTAAACTGTGTGTAATTTCCACAGAGATGCCATCCTGCCATATATCTCTTAGCCATACTGCTGCCAGGAATCCTTCTCTATTCTTTATAAGACAGAAGGGATGCTAACTTCTTATCCTCTAAGACTTAGCTCACA